AAACAAAATGGTGGTTTATTGCTGCAGCAACAATTATCCTCAAGCGATGGAAGCATTCAGAAAACAAAAATATTTACTTCCAAGGAGCTGGAAAAGGCAACCGATCGTTTTAATGATAATAGAATACTTGGTAAAGGTGGCCAAGGAACTGTTTATAAAGGAATGCTAGCAGATGGAATGATCGTTGCTGTTAAAAAATCCAAAATAGTGGATAAAGAAAAGTTGGAAGAATTTATCAATGAGGTCGTCATCCTTTCACAAGTCAATCATAGAAATGTGGTCAAGTTGCTAGGTTGTTGTTTAGAGACAGAGGTTCCTCTACTAGTCTATGAATTCATTCCCAACGGAAATCTCTTTGAGTATATTCATGAACAGAAGGAGGAGTTCCAGTTTTCATGGGAAATGCGACTACGGATTGCTACTGAAGTTGCTGGGGCACTTTCTTATCTTCATTCCGCAGCATCCATTCCGGTTTATCACCGTGATATTAAGTCTACAAATATACTGTTAGATGAGAAGTTCAGAGCAAAAGTATCAGATTTCGGAACTTCAAGATCGATCGCAATTGATCAAACTCATCTAACCACTCATGTTCGAGGCACTTTTGGATACTATTGATCAAACTCATCTAACCACTCATGTTCGAGGCACTTTTGGATACTTTGATCCAGAGTACTTCCAGTCTAGCCAATTTACCGGAAAAAGTGACGTCTACAGTTTTGGTGTTGTTCTTGCAGAGCTCTTGAGTGGGCAAAAACCAATTTCTTATGAAAGGTCGGAAGAGAGGGGAAGTTTAGCCACTCATTTTATTCTTTTGATGGAAGAGAACAAGATATTTGATATTCTTGACGAACGACTTATTGGGCAGGACCGTGAAGAAGAAGTTATCGCAGTCGCTAATCTTGCTAGAAGATGCTTGAACTGGAATGGAAGGAAACGGCCAACTATGAGAGAAGTCGCGATAGAGTTGGAGCAGATTCGGCTGTCAAAAGGAGCTCTTCATGCACAACGAAGTAGTAAAGAACTTGAAAACATCAGGGATGAAGTTCCCAACGTATGGGAAATTGCTGGGCCTCCTACTTCAGTAACAATTGACGATTTTAGAAATGGCACGGCTCCATTTTTGGATGTCCAATCATTGATTTCTCACGAGACATGGTGATTAAGGACATCCATGACATTTGTCGCTCTTGTGCAGCGTTGTGATAATCGTTCACTCTGGAAAATTATTTGTAATAAACAGATATATAGTTTATTCAGGCAAAATAAAGAGGGACAATGAATTCTCATCTCTTATCAATAAACTATGGACTAGGAGTCGCTATCTAGTGTTTTGATTACTAGGAATCTAAGTAGTCTCAGAGATGAGGTATGAAGATTGGTTAGGTAAAGGGAAGGTATTAGCACTCCAATTACGTCCTACCTAAAGTAGACTGCATTGTTTTAATGTCTGATAAAATCTAAGGTCGTAATGTGTTTTTCTAAACTTTGTCTGTCTGTCTACGGTTTAAGAAAAGTTCTCCTCTATAAGGAGATCTTTATCTTATCAGGTAAGAACTTAATTGTTTCATGTTATAAAAAAATATCTTTTTAATATCAAAAATATGTTTTACATGTAAATTTGTAATCCCTGATACTAAACAAAACAAAACAAAATCACCCACAAAAACTTCCACATCAGCGAACAAAAGAGGGGATTTTTTTTTTTTGTGGGATGGTTGTTTGCAGTTTGGGTGGAAAGAGTTGGGATAAAAAAGAACAAAGACAAATAGGGAGAGAGAGGGTCAAAAGAGTGGTGATATATTCACTTTTACTGATGGAATCACCGATAGACTATTTTCGCTGGTGATTTCGTCGATAATTCTGACAATGAATTGATTACGTCACTGTACGGAGATCCTAGTTTGAATCCCTCGGTAATTTTATTGGTAAAATCACCCGCAAAAACTTCCATATCAGCGAATAACCTTTTTTATATATATATAATAAATATTCTATCTGTAATTCGATCAGTATTTACTAATCAAATAATTATGTTAATGTATACCTATTAAATTTAAGATGAAATATTATCCGTCCGTAACTTCATTCGGGATAGGCGAATGTCTAGTAGTGTACCTTTTTAAAATTAGAACTCAAATAATCAGGTTAAAGTGCACCTGATCATTTGTGAATTAACAAATAATTCCTTACGTGGAGGATTCCAATTGCATATTTAAAGGTAACAATGATATCGAAAGGTATATGAAGTAATATTCTACAAAGTATAGGAAAAATATTGTTCCCCACACCAATATTATTCATCAAGAAAAAAACAATGACGAATTATAGCACATTTATTAAAGAACGCAAGATTCAAAATAGGTAACTAAAATGAAAAACACAAAAAAAGAGATATTTTTGCTAAAATTGAGGCTAAACATATACTTTAGTCTCCTAATTTTTAAAATTATAAGTTTTTAGTCCTTAATAATTTATGAAATTCAATTTTAATCTTAAACTTTATTTTTTTATTTCTTGATCCTGGTTTGAGAAAATAGTTGGATTCTGGTGATAAAGGAAAAAAAATCTTGAATGAAACTGGTACACGATGGACATGAAATATGTCTCTTCTATCCCGATCAACCCAACCATGTTCATCTTTTTATATCTTGAAATGGTATCAAACACTATCTTAGCAGTGTATTTATAAATTAAATTTCATTTCATTTCATTTTTCTTTTTCTTTTTTAATTTCAGAACTAAAAAAGTACTAAACTAGAGAGAACAAATTAAACAATACATAGGCTATGCTTTAGTTGCTTAATTTTACATAAAACACGCAAATTCAAAATTTATTAGTCTTTAATTTTAAGTCATCATTATCAATTTGTCAAGAATATCTTTAATTGGATTTCCATTAGTTTAGCAAAAAAAAAAGTTTAAAGAAATTGTTTAATTTTTAAATCTTTTTGTATCATCGTTAAGAATTGGTCAACAGTTGATTCGGTACTATAAAGCTGCTTTCCTCAAACATCAAAATTAAATAATTTGTTCCCAAGTCAAAAATAGATTAATTTATTGATACAGTTAATTGCAGGAGAATATTTAAAGATTTTTCCCAAGTCAAAATAGATTAATTTATTGATGGAATGATGAGACTGAATAATTATTAACTAATAAGGTTATCACATAGTCAAACTGGATATCTGTGTCTTCAGTGACAAATTCAGCGCAAAAGTTATCAATGCCAGAAGCTGCTTGGAAAGTTATTTATTTATTATAATTCGATTGCTTTCTTTCTTAGCTAATCTAATAATTTCTAATGGACAAATTTGTTTTTGAAATGGTTAATATCAAATTAAAAATGGAATTCACTCACATTTTGAACTAATATTATGTTTGATAATGTTCTCTATTTTAACATGAAGTATTTATATAACTAAAATCAATTCTAAATATATAGAAGATTAATTCTAAAAAATCTTTGGTTGATAAAAATTTTAAATCCATAAAGTTTTTATTTTACATTGAAAGATTACAAGTATATATCGTGGTGTTTTAGAAAAATAAGATTATAACCTCTATAACAAATGTAACATTTTAAAATCTTCCTTACTACTGAAGGAATATATTTTTTTAAATTATTAAATGTATCTTGGATACAGATATTTCTTAATATTGTTTTTTAAAATATAAGTGTTTGTCAAGTTTTTCAAACAGTTGAATATTTGTGTAATCTTAAAATATTTGAGGAGTTTGGATATAATTTATTATTAATCTTCTTACTCGAGGGTGGTTTAGTGTCGAATCTTAAGATAACAGTCAAATTGTCTATAGTTATTAAAGATTACATAGTTGAATAATTAGGAGCTTGGTCTATGTTATTAGACATTTTTAATTCTTTTTCGAGGTGATCCTCGGCCGGATTGAGTATTTGAAGTTTACTTGTGCTTCAGAGAAACTTCTCTAATGTTTCTTCTTGTTTTTTATGATGAACTCCCCTCGTTCGACTACTCCCAGATCACAAGAGATAATATTTCCTGTCTGATCCTTTTTTCTCTCTTAAATATTCAATTAATTTGTTGTGTATTAATTATTCAACTAATGAGGGAAAATGGTTAAACAATCAGTTATATCTAAAAATTTAAATTATTAGGTGAAATTTCAAGATATAATTTATATTATTATCTAATATACCTCCTTAAGTGAAAACATTTTAAACTTAAAATTTACATAAATCTATACTACCTTATACTTCATTTCTTGTATCAAATAGATGAGGATTGTAAGGTTTGAATTTGTGACCACTCCATCATCAAGGTTCTGATATTATATAAAAAAATCAATTCAATTTAAAAGTTTAAGTTGTTAGATAAAGTTTTAATATATAATTTATGTAATTCTCTAACAAAAATATCCTCTTTTCATATTAAATGAACAATTCTAATTTATTTATTTTTTAACATCTAGCTCAATGTTAAATATTCCCATTCCATTATTAGCTCTTATATTATTTATTGTGCAAATTCATCACAAATAATTAAAGTCCCCCTGAGAAATTAATATAATCTCCAAATCTTCTATAAAAAATTCAAAGAATAAATCTAGTAAATCCCCACAACAAATTATTTTTGAAAAATACTCAAATATATAGGAAACTTTATTAACCATGATCTTATGTCGATTTTTCTCGCCTTCAACTCTCCACCAATCCATGACCAAATTGTTAATTTTAATCTTTCTACTCTCTCACAAACACACAGTACTTTGAGGAAGTCCTGCTTGCTGGGCACATTGTTTCCAATTTATATGTGCTAGATTAAACTAGTACCCATGTAAATTTTCTGAGGAAGTCCTGCTTGCTGGGCACATTGTTATCAATTAATATGTGCTAGATTAAACTAGTACCCATGTAAATTTTCTAATCCAAACAAGGCCCCCTTGCTAGATTAAACTAGCAAGCCTAGAACATGCCTATAAAGTCTTGAACAAACTCACTATGTTGAACTCCGAAACAATACGAGAAGATGAAAATGGCCTACAAATATTTCTTGTCTCTAATCATTCTCCTACTGTTGCCCACCTTATTTCAATTAGCAAGAGCAGTTGCACCTATAGCAAAGCCTGGTTGTCAAGATCACTGTGGAAACATCAGCATTCCATACCCTTTTGGAACGACAAAAGATTGCTACATGGAAGAATCGTTTGAGGTTGTTTGTGACGAAGCAGCCAGCCCTCCTAGGATTTTCATAAGAAAAACCAATATGGAGGTTCTGAATATTAAAGATGGTGCTGCCGTCGTCAAAGGTCCAATTATGTACTCCAATTGTTCCGGTAGGCAATCCGGTCCACCTGTGAACTTGGAGGGAAGTCCTTTCTTTTTCTCCTTCGGTAATCTGTTCATTGCAGTCGGCTGCAACATCCGTGCTCTCTTGACAGAGATTGGGCCCCAAGTCAGTGGATGTGACTCAACATGCGTTCCCTACTATAATCAAACAAACATTATTTATGGGCAAGAAATTAATAGTCTCTGTTCTGGGAAGCACTGCTGCGTAGCCAGAGCTCCTTATAGGATGCAGGTTTTTTATCCAAGTCTAGAAACTAAAAATGAGAGTCAAGACTGCAGTGGATGCAAGCTTACTTTCCTAGCAGACCAAGAGTGGGTTGCGTTCTCCTATATAAACAATCGGCAAGTGTTTCATGATCGGGAATATGTTCCGGTGGTGCTGGCTTGGGTGATGGATTACAAGCTTTGGAAATATGACCCCAAGACCATGAGTTGCAAATATTTCCTTCTCGAGAACTCTTTGACTTTAGCATACGAATGTTCTTGCCGGAAAGGTTATGAGGGCAACCCTTACCTTGGGTGCGTAGGTAAAGTTAATGTTTAATTAAGAAAATACTTGATGTTGCTGTTTGGCTGTACACCAGCTTCGCTTTTAGCTCTTGAAATAAACCATTTGTTTATGCGGCATTTGCCCAGCTGACAAACGGGTTCTTCCTCTTCTGAATAATAATATTAATAACAATAATTTCTGCAAAGATTGTTCTGGTTTATCAGGAAACAAAGTACCTGAGCATCTCTTTTCTATTTATCGATCGTCTTCCTGAGTTATAATTTCCTTACTGTATGTTAACGACTGTTGAGATTCGTTGCGCCTGCTTATTTGGTCAATTTCATATCACCTATGCTGCTGGTGATAATCAATGCAGTATGAATATCTACGTTGCAACAATTAATTATATATTTTTCTGCGTGTAGGTATATCTAAGCCAAGTTATTGTAGCTTAAGTCCCTAGCTAGTTGCTAGAACTATTGCTGTTATAGGCTTTCTCGTTGCTCTTTCTGACAAATCAATGCGAGATCTGGTTTTAAGGCAAACTTAAAAATTAATGCAAAACAAATCAGAAAATATAG